TGAGCAGTTCTATGCAAATCGGTCTGCGATTCGCGCCCCTACGTTTCAAATGAACAATTTTGAGCTGAAACCCGTGTACTACACTCTTGTGGGTCAGCATCCCTTTCATGGTCACTCTCATGAGCACCCTATGGATCACATCGAGAGGTTTAAGGACTTGGTCACCAGCATCAAATACAATGGAGTGTCCAATGATTTCCTCTTCTGCAAGCTTTTTCCTTATTCTCTTGCTGGAGAAGCAGCTAACTGGTTGAAGCAGTTGGCCGGAACCTGGTTTGTTGACTACTTGGGAAGAGACCAGGAACGCCTTCCTGCACAATTTCTACGACAATGCCAGGTCTGAGGAACTGAGACTCAAAATCTCGACATTCTCTCAAGGACCTACTGAGGCATTCAAAGCTGCTTGGGTGAGATTCAAATCATACCAGCGAGACTGCCCACATCATGGCTTTAGTGATGTGCATCTGTTGGGTATTTTCTTCATAGGTGTTGATTATAAGTATCAGATGGCTCTTGATGCAGCAAGCAATGGAAACTTCAACACCAGATGCCCAGACGAAGCTGTTACGCTCATCGAAAACTTGGCATCTAGCAATAGTACCAAGAATGCTGATTATGAGCGAAAGAAGCAAGCTGGGAACATGGATGGATCGCAGATTGCTGAGGTGAAGGCTAAGCTTGACTCTGTGCATAGCCTTCTAGTGGGTAAGAAGTCTATCAGATTTGCACAGGAAGTGGAGAGTTTCAAACCTGAGGGTGAAGCTGAGGAGGAAGAAGTCAACTTTATCAATGGATCAGAGTTTCAGGGTCAGAGGTTTGGTAATCAGCAAGGTAACAGAAGCTACAGTGGAAACAATCAGAGGAACACCTTCAACAGTAATCAGAACTTCTCTGGTTACACGCCTAAGCCTCAATACCAGAAGCCCTATTCCAACACCAGTTTTTCCAGAAACTACAGCACCCCTTCAGCTCAACCTCAAACTCCTAACAATGAGGTGAAGTCTATGCTGGAACAGATTATGGAAGGACAGCAGAAGCTCACCGTGGACTTCAATGGAAAGATGGATGCTCTCTACCTTGATCTGAATGGAAAAAATTGAGGCTTTGATCACCCATGTCAAGCAGCTCGATACGCAGGTTGCTCAAACTGCAGGGTCTGTGAAACGACAAGAAGGTTTTCTTCCTGGAAAGACTGACACCAATCCAAGGCATCACTGCAGTGCCATCACGTTGAGGAGTGGTAAAAAATTGATTTCTGAGCCCAAAAAGATGTCTCCTGCTGCTGAAATCGTCGATTTGGAAGATCCTGAAGAAGTTCCTGAAGTTGCAGAGCCGGTGTCGAGCGACACCACAACCAGTGTCATGCGTCATCAATCGCAGAGCGAAGCTGATATTGCTCCAAGTCCGAAATCTGCTGAGGAAAAGGTGTACAAATCTAAGGTTCTTTACCCAAGGAGCCCTAGGAAGTCCAAGCAAGAGCTAGATGATGCACGGTGCAAAGCTTTGATGGAAAAGCTTGTGATTGAGATACCTTTGGTTGATTCTGTGAAAATCACTCCTGTTATCAGGCGTTATGTGAAGCGAATGGTGACCAATAATATCAGCCATGAATAGGGAGTGATGATGATTTCTGAGCAAGTCAGTGCTGTGATTCAGAACAGGATTCCAGAGAAGTTGTCTGATCCAGGAAGCTTTGTCTTGGATTGTTCCATCTTCACGGAGAGATTCAAGAGATCGCTGTGTGATCTGGGTTCAAGTGTCAATCTCATGCCGTACTCAGTCGCTGTCAATCTCGGCATGACTGACTTCAAGCCAACGAGGATCTCTCTTATCCTAGCTGATCGATCGACGAGGACACCTGAGGGAGTGCTGGAAGATGTTCCAATCAAGGTTGGAGATTGCATGATACCAACCGATTTCGTCGTCCTGGAGTATGGAGAAGAACCTAAGGATCCTCTTATCCTTGGGAGACCTTTTCTAGCGACTGCAGGCGCTATCATCGATGTGAGGAAGGGCAGAATTGCTTTGAATGTTGGAGACTTGGTCATGAACTTTGACATGGACAAGCTGATGAAGAAGCCCACCATCGATGCTCAGACTTTCTACGTCGACACTCTCACAGGCTTCGCAGAGGAGATGTTCCAGGAGATGCACCCTGCAGACCCTTTGGAGAGAGCTCTGATCTCATCTGCATCTGAAGCAGAGCACCTGGACGAAATTACAGCATCATATGTCAAGATGCTGTACGCAAGCGAGTAGGTGATGCAGTTGGTAGCTCAAGAGGAACCAATCGAAGTTCCTGCAAAAGGCAAAAAGATCAGCGATTGGAGTGAAGAGAAAGCTCCTAAGATTGAGCTCAAACAGCTTCCTGCAGGGATAAGGTACGCATTCTTGGACCTAATTCCACTTATCCTGTTATTGTCAATGCTTCCTTAAACAATGCAGAGCTCACTTTACTGCTAAGCAAGCTGCGCAAGTTTCGCAAAGCTGTTGGCTATTCGCTTGATGATATTTCAGGCATCTCTCCGGACCTGTGTATGCATCGGATTCACCTGGAGGATGAGACAAATTCGTCGATTGAACACCAGAGGAGGCTGAATCCGAACCTGCAGGAAGTGGTGAAGAAGGAGATCATGAAGCTGCTGCAAGCTGGGATCATCTATCCGATTTCAGACAGTGCTTGGGTCAGTCCAGTGCACGTGTATCCTAAGAAAGGAGGAGTCACAGTTGTGAAGAATGAGAGGAATAAGCTGATTCCAATGCGAACAGTGATTGGACACAGGATGTGTATCGATTACCGGAAGCTAAACGCAGCAACCAGGAAAGATCACTTCCCTCTGCCTTTCATCGATCAGATGTTGGAGAGATTGGCAAATCATCCATACTACTGCTTCCTCCATGGGTACTCAGGATTTTTCCAGATTCCAATCCACCTAGATGATCAGGAGAAGACCACCTTTACATGTCCATACGGCACTTTCGCATATCGCAGAATGTCTTTTGGACTTTGTAATGCTCCTGCGACTTTTCAGCGATGTATGATGTCCATCTTCACTGACATGATTGAGGATTTCATGGAGGTCTTTATGGATGATTTCTCAGTTTACGGATCATCTTTTAAAGACTGTCTGGACAATCTCTGCGAGGTTTTAGCTCGATGTGAAGATAAGCACTTGGTCCTTAATTGGGAAAAGTGCCACTTTATGGTCAGAGATGGGATTGTTCTTGGGCACAGAGTTTCAGAAGCTGTGATTGAGGTAGATCGTGCGAAGATCGACGTGATGACAAACTTGCAACCACCAGACTCTGCGAAACCAGTAAGGAGTTTCTTGGGTCATGCTTGGTTTTATTGCAGATTTATCAAGGATTTCAGCAAGATTGCAAGACCACTTACTGCTCTGATGTGCAAGGACGTCAAGTTTGAGTTCACAGATGAGTGTCTTGCTGCTTTCGAACAGATCAAACAGGTGTTGATAAGCGCGCCTATTGTGCAACCCCCTGACTGGAATTTGCCTTTTGAGATAATGTGTGATGCCAGTGAATTTGCAGTAGGAGCTGTTTTGGGACAGAAAAAGGACAAGAAACAGCATGCAGTTTACTATGCCAGTCAAACCCTGGATGATGCTCAGAGGAATTATGCGACCACCGAGAAAGAGTTGTTGGCTGTGGTCTTTGCATTTGAAAAATTTCGTCCCTACCTTGTGGGATCAAAGGTGATTATGCATACGGATCATTCTGCACTCAAATAAGCGAAGCCAAGGTTACTGCGATGGGTTCTACTTCTCCAGGAATTCGACATTGAGGTTAAGGACAAGAAGGGAGTTGAGAATGGTGTCGCAGACCATCTCTCACGCATCAGGGTTGAAGAAGACGTACCAATAGATGATTTTCTGCCAGAGGAGAATGTATACTATGTGGAGACTGGGTTTCAGAGCAGATTTGACAAAGAATTGCAGGCTTTTCGAGTTGCAGAAACGTTAGTGTCGAGCAACACAACCGTTAGTGTCACGCGACACCTTGCGCAGCAGAACACAGAGACTTCTCAAATTCGAAGCAGACTTTCTGAGATCAGTTCAGCTGCTGTATCTGCCACCCAACGTCCATGGTATGCTGATATTGCCAATTATCTTGGTGCAGAAGCCGAGCCTGAGAACTTTAAAGGCTATGTGAAGAAGAAGTTCCTGAGAGAGCTGAGGAGATATCACTGGGACGAGCCATATCTGTACAAGCACTGTTCTGATGGGATTTACAGAAGATGCATTGCAGAGTCAGAAGTTCCAGATGTGCTGTTTCACTGTCATGGATCTGAATATGCTGGACACTTCGCGACCTTTAAAACAGTGTCTAAGGTTCTTCAAGCAGCCTTTTGGTGGCCTACAATTTTTCGCGACGCGCATGCCTTTATCTCGCAGTGTGATGCTTGTCAGAGGAGAGGGAAGATCAGTAAGCGACATGAGATGCCACATAATTTCATCCTTGAAGTTGAAGTGTTCGATTGTTGGGGCATCGATTTCATGAGTCCTTTTCCCTCTTCTTATGGGAATAAGTACATCCTGGTTCCTGTTGATTATGTATCTAAGTGGGTCGAAGCCATTGCCAGCCCCACCAACGATTCTTCAGTGGTTCTTAAGATGTTCAAGACCATCATCTTCCCTCGATTTGGAGTGCCTCGAATTGTTATAAGTGATGGTGGTTCTCACTTTATTAACAAGGTTTTCCAAAAACTCCTAAGGAAACATGGAGTTCATCATCGAGTTGCAACTCCTTATCACCCTCAGACGAGTGAACAGGTCGAAGTCTCGAATCGACAGATCAAGGAGATCTTGGAGAAGAATGTGGGTAAAACTCGGCATGACTGGGCTGCGAAGTAGGACGATGCACTATGGGCGTACAGGACAGCGTTCAAAACGCCCCTAGGCACCACGCCTTTCCACCTGCTTTATGGAAAGCCCTGTCACCTTCCAGTGGAGATCGAACATAAGGCAGCCTAGGCGATAAAGATGATGAATTTCGACATCAAGTCTGCTGCAGAGAGGAGACTGATACAGCTGAACAAGTTGGACGAAATCAGGCTTCATGCCTATGAGAACTCGAAGCTGTACAAGGAGAGGATCAATGCGTATCACGATTCGAAAATCCTCTCCAGACAATTTGAACCGAATGACCAGGTACTTCTGTATAACTCTCGTTTGCAATTGTTTCCTAGTAAACTGCATTCTCGTTGGTCAGGTCCTTTCATAGTTAAGGAGGTTCGACCCTATGGTGCCATCGTCCTCCTCACACCAGATGGCAGCAGAGAGTTCACAGTGAATAGACAAAGGGTGAAACACTACTGGGCCAAAGCTGAGATTCCAGATGGACACATCGTTCCTCTGGATGGTGCACCTCCTGCCTGAATCACCATCAAGTCAAGCTAATGACTTTAAACAAGCGTTGGGTGGAAGGCAATCCACTGGTAAGTTTGTACATAAGTGTTTTTGTTTCAGCTAATTTTTGTTTTTGGTTTTCGTGATTTAGGTGATGCAGAGACTGGTGTCGAGCGACACCAGAATCGGTGTCGTTTGTCACTTGTTTCTGTTTTACAAAAAAAAAAAATTGGAATTAGCTTAACCAGAAATCCAGAACCGGAGTGGAATTGGGAATCAGATCGGGCACAAGGAGATTTGGTTCACGACGTACAAGTGTCGCGGGACACCACCTTCGGTGTCGCTCGTCACTTAAAAACATGTAAGTCTCCTTTTTTCCCCTTTTATTTAAAACCCTCATTCACCACCCTCCTCCCTTAGCCACATTCGACACCATAGCCTCCCTTTCCTTCACCAAAACCCGATTTACTCAATTCTTCACGGATTTGAGTGTTTCAAAAGCCTAACTTCATCGGATTTTCACTCTCTTTATGTTTCTTCCATCGATTTGACACTTCAACAAGGTAAGCCACTCGAAATTTCACTTTTTCGATTTTGGTTTTCAGGTATGGAATGTCGAATTTGCTCTCTCTGGGTTGTTCTGTTACTCGATTTCTCACTTTGAAGCTGATATAGAGCATATTTCGACACTCCCATGCACTTCTCATTGAATAATTGGCAGATTTTTGGAATTTTGTTCTTCATGACAACTGTTGTTCAAAATTTTCGCCTGTAGAGTTTCAGAAGTTAATTTGGGTGAACTTTGGTGATTGTGCTGCTAGGCTTGTTTGTCTTGATAACAGGTAATGCTGGAATAGCCAATTCATGGTTCTCACTTTGGCTAACTTGCTGTTTTTCTTCCTTGTTTGGTTTGCTCTGTTTTGTATGTTGTAGATGCCACCATGCAAACGACAATGTAGGAACAACGCCTCCAGCTCGCATTCCACAGACACAGTGACATTCAACCTTGGCGATCACGTCGAGGCTTTGGTAGGCGATCTGTGGCAACGCGGGATCGTCAATGTGGTACTCGCAGGTTCTCGCTACCTAGTCAAATTCCATAACTCCCAGGATTTGCAAGCGTTCACATCCTCCCATCTTCGACCTGCTGCACCACCACGAGCTCGTTCCGCCTCACCACCACCATCACCTCCTGCTGCACCTGACTCACCTGCTGAGAGGATTCGGCCCCCTTGGCCTAATGATGCGTGTCAACTGCGTGAGAGAACAATTTTTACCCTAAACAAAAACAAATGAAAGCCGCAAGTGCACAGCTAATCAATTGTAGAATTTAGGGATCAAATCCACAGAGATTTGTGTGCCTGGTATTCTTCTACGGTTTCTAACTTTATGTCTAGACTAGATTGGTTTTAGAGGTGGGTTGTTTGTCGCGGATTAAATTAAAACAAAAGAAAGCAAATAAATCTGTCCTAGAAAGCAAGTAGAAAAATCGAATGAAAAGCAAGTAAAGCAAGCAAAATATCGAACCTAAACAATTGAAATGCAGATCTAAATAAGCAAGTAAAAATTGATTGGTTTGTAAACTATGGCTAAAAACGCTGAGCTTTCGGGAACTCTACAGGGATCATAATCGGTTTTAACACTAGGGATGAGAGATTGGGATTGACGGATATCGAAATATAGGGTTCTAGAGCTAGAGTACGGCGGTATGACTACGTCACTGTCGTGATCATAACCAACTGTTTCTCGCAACCCTGACCAGTAGGTTTCCACTCTGGCCCTGGAAGGGAGAGAACGCAAGAGCTGCACAAGACTCGTCAATACTCACTATCTCGCCGCAAGTACGTTTCCACTCCTACGGAATAATCGCCTGTTTCATTCTAGGTCTGATACTTAATGATAACTTTTGCAACACTAACTATCTAGATCAGATACTAGGTAATCAATCAAGCAGACATGCAATAAGAACGAGAATAAACAGAGAAAAAAATTAAAATCCTAGATCTATAAACCTAGATGTCTTAATCGATTATGAAAGCCCTTTTCGGGAACCCTAAGCCCAAAACATAGCTGAGGTCGACATCATCATTGGTTTTAATAAAAGTAATCAAAAACAACAAAGAAAAGAGATGAAAGAAAGCTTCTCTATTGAAGAACTCAGACTTGAACAATCTTCTACAAAAATCGCATAAAAACGGCTAAAGGAAGGGTTTCTGTAAAGTATGAAGGGGGTGTCTAAAAAACAACCTAAATGACAAGTATTTATAGTCTTCAATACTCCATGGTCTCTAGGGTTCCGGAATTGAGGCTGAGAAATGACTTTGGGCTTCAGAAATATGGGCTTTAATTCAGAGTTGGCCGGCCGCAGTCGGGAGTGACGTGACCGCGGGAAATAGGTGGTTGGCCGCGGTCGGGAGGCTTGTGACCGCGGGGAATGGGCTGGTGGCTGCGGTCGCGTGATTCGCTGGCCGTCTTTGAGTGGCTCCGGGGCTAATGTAATATCTTGAGATCCAACCGTTGGAATGTCTCAAAACCAAGTGAATTTGAAAGCTGGTTGATTCTTCTATACGTTGTCCAATTTTGAGGGTGATCAGACAGTGAGAAGGTCTTCGTGTCTCCGTGAGAGTTCTGACGGTCTGCATTTATCCAAAACAGTCTTTTTGTTCCAATTTGTGCCTCTTTATTCCAAATTACCTGAAAAGTCTTTTAAAATCTGAAAACATAGAAATCCTTTGAAAACTTTTGAAAATGGAGTAAAAACACCTGTAAAAGACATTAAAGTGATCCAGAAAAATGGTCAAAATCCGGTGTTATCAACTCCCTCAGACTTAGTCTTTTGTTTGTCCTCAAACAAAACAAAGGCCAAATCTCGGTGAGAGGTTTGAAAACGCAGGAACTAAAAAAAATCTCAGAGACTAAACTTCTAGACCAATATCAATCAGTATGCATCAATTGGAAATAGCCTAGAAAATTCTCACCAGCAATACGGGCATAACTAATCCGTTAATCCGTCATGCGGAAATCTATGCACTAAGATCTAACTTCCAGTCAACTAGCTCTTAACATTCATTGAAAATCTTGGTGGTTCTCATCAAAGAAAGTCTAGGCAAGGCAATCTAGGCTAGGTGTAAAAAGGGTTATTCTAGGGGTAAGGTTTAAAGTGTTTGCGGGTTACCTGAAGATCTGGAGGATGCAAGATATTATGCAAAACCGCAAGAGAGAGTAAAGCTGTTGGTATCCACAGTTTTCAGTCACTTTCTTTTTTCCATAGATTCCTGGTCTTCTTCCTCAGGTTCTCTCCTAACTAACCCAGACTTAGATTTTTGAAAATCTTTCCAAACCATAGCTCTTTAAACGAATCGTGGTTGCTTCTTGCTCCAAAAATTTTGACAATCTAAGACTCATTAGGCTTTTTTGTTTCCCTCTCTCTTTTCATTCAATTTTTTTTTTTTGAAAGAGGGAACACCTTTAGATATAGAGTCATAGAGAGCACGAAATTACCAATCAAAATCAGTCTTGAAAAGCTTAATAAGGTTTTCTGATGCTCTTCCTTCCCAACTCCATTCAGTCTTCCTTGTGAGTGACTGAAAACTGCGTTGCTCCTCTTCTCTTCGACGTTTTTGCACATATCTGCTGATATAAACTAAAGAGAGAATGCATGAGGATTGAAAACAAGGGTTTTGGGTTTAGGGTATGGTACCAGATAAAGATGAACTGGTCATTTAGGACGACAAAGAGTGGTAAAAATGAGGGTGAAAGACGTCCTAGATGTATATCTTGATATCTTAAAATTTAAAAAGTACTTGAAATTTTAAAAGCAAAAACAAGAAAATGATTAGTACAGATAGACATCCTCCCCCAGACTTAAATCACACTGTCCCCAGTGTGAAAAAGTTGGTGAGAAGATGGTGAATATAAGCGAAAAGTAAAATAAGATAAAAGAAAAGAAAATGATGATAGAACCATGATGGCAGTGAAATGCTGATCAATCACTCATCCTCCGATGTGTCTGCTTCGAACTGGTGCTGCTCCTGTAGGAAAGTGACAACGCGCTCAAAGCGTCGTCCTTGTCTCTCAACTCTGCGCTCCAGATCAGAATATGTGTGCGACGATGTCGATGATGAAGTGTGGCCGATCAAAACAGATGGCTGAAAGTGAGCACGGACCGCAGCTGCATCGCGTTTTGCCTTGGCCACTATGTATTGGCCGATGGTGAATGGTAGACGAGGCACAGATGGCAGAAACTCATCGGGTTCCAGAGTCCATCGCGGACGTCCTCCGTTACACAATCTCGGGACTGATGCTGAAGGTAAGCAAACTCGGTGCTCCTCGGTGCCAGTGCAATATTTGTAACCAAACCTGTCTGGATCAAAAGCGGCACGAGAGATAGTATGATCGCGAGAGAGATAAAGTAGGTCATACCAGACATCGGGAAATGGATCATCAGATGAGAAGTCGAATCCTACAGCCTGTAATAGCGCTCCCGTAAGCTGGAGTAGCGTCCTCGCAACCATGTTAATCATGCTTCACCTTCACCATGTTCTGTGCTATGATCCAGGCAAAGCAGGCAAGTCGTGGGTCGTCCATAAATGGCATCTGAAGTGTAATGAGCTCGTTCTTCAAAACACATCCTATGTTTGCTCTAGAGAAAATCGTGTGTGCTAAGAGTTTGTGCACAACTCTCACTGCAGGATGAGTAAAAAGGGCTGACTTGGATCTCCCGCTATCATAGACGCCATGACCCATCTCTCTCCACAAGTTAAAATCGTGTTCTTCTTCCAGGTGAATGCCATCAGTGTATGGAAGCTTAAGAGCCTCACAAAGTGCAGAAATTGTGAGCGAGTAAGTCTGTCCGCGGATAGAGAATGACAAGATGCCATCAGATGCTCTGGGGTTCCTCCTCTTCGTGTGGTAGAGTGTAATAGTTGCTAAGAACTCGCGGACCAGCTCGGGATAAGTTGGAAGGTTCAGCTCCATGTAGGGTCTTAGCTTAAGTGCATCGATGTACCAGATTACATCTTCTCTGATTC